AATGTTAGAATTTGGGTTCATGGCTAGATACTGACATGAAATTCACTAAGCACATCAACCATATACGCCCATCCGACTTCATCGTATTGAGACAACTTCATCCGAGTAGGGATATATCTTCGAAAAGGACTCGATTGAATATTTTCGGATCTCTCATTCCCTCCAGACTGGCGTACTGTGATCGTTTCCACGGACCTGCTCTTCTACAAATCGATTACATACGTGTGCAAAAAATTCAGAATAGCTGTGTTCGTTTTTCGTATGGTATCCGCAGATATGAACACATTAGTGATGCCTTTCACGACTTTCTGGATGGCTGAATTCAGAACACACGAGGCTCATACATCTACTCACTTTCACACACACAATTTTGACATCTGGTTCACCGCCAGTAGATAGTTTTCACCGGTTCTGGGTCTCCGCCCAAGGCCAGAGGAGTGCGACCTTGGGCGGAGTGGCCTTGGAGGTGACCTTGGGCGGGAGTGACCTTGGGCGGGAGTGACCTTGGAGGTGACCTTGGGCGGAGTGACCTTGGGAGTGACCTTGGGGGGAGGTGACCTTGATATCGACCTTGAGGGAGGAGTGGTTGACGCTCTTGAAGACTGAGTCGACCTTGGGAGAGGGAGTGACCTCGTGTGATGTCCTTGAGAAGAAGGGTAACCTTGAGAGGAGAAACCTTGGGTGGAATGCCCGACCTTGTATGCGCATACACTCAATCGTTCTTGAGAGTGACCTTGGGATGAGTGACCTTGGGGGTGACCTTGAAAGGAGTGACCTTGAAAGGAGTGACCCTGAAAGGCGAGAGGAGTGGACTTTTAAGGTGGCCTTGAAGGCGACCTTGGGGTGATCTTGGGGTGACCTCGGGAGTAGCCGATTAGAGTGGTTGATGCCCTCGAAGACTGAGTCGACCTTGGGGGTGTAGTGTCCTTGAGAAGAAGAGTAACCTTGAGAGGAATAACCTTGGTGGAATGCCCTCCCCCAACCTTGTATGCGCATAATCGTTGTCGACCTTGTCCCTCCCCTATTGAAGGCTTTATCGTGAAAGTGGGGTGGGTTAGTAGTAGGGAGCATTATGGCACAGCTCCTCCACATATAAATTCTTCATCAAACCACATGTATCACAGTTTTCTGAGCATCGCCGATTGAGAGTAGTGCTCGCGTTTATATCTTAATCAGCCAGAATGTTGTTCTGTAATGTTCGCGCCCAATCGTTCTCACGCAGTGATAACTTACGACGCCATCAAAGAGTGTCATGCATAGGGAGTGCTGGTCCATCTCTTTCGAAAAAGCCTCGGTTAGATGCTACACCATCAACATCTACTTATTTGGAAATATGTGCATGTTGTGACAAAACTATTCCTGCCGATAAGATGGCGGCCCATAAAAAAACATTGGAACATCAGACGAATGCTTGCTCCAATTACATGAACGGTGTATACGTGATTGAGAGCGCATTCAAATGTCGCATCATCAGCTACAGATTAGAATGTAGGAGTGAAACATTGGATTACAATACATTTTTCAATGAGAATAGATCAACAATAACTTTGCTGTTGGAGAATATGCTTTCGATTCATCATTCCATCAAAGTCAATATGGAAATGTTTGGTAGATACGTTATTGAAGCCAAGAATATACGTGATAATAAGTCCTTCATGACGCCGAACCATATAATCGACTCATCATTGGATTTGGGGTCTATCATCGATACGTTCAAGGATATAATTATCAACCTAGCAACAGAATTCGAGGAACGCGATTCCGGTAAGTTCAATTCATTTCAAGATTTTTTTCCCTATGAGTAGTACCCATCTGATTATGGAAAATAGTAGCTGAATAATGATATTGTTACAGGTTGGGCTCTAGAGAAGATACTGTTCCTTGAAATCAATGTGAACAAATATAGTCCACTACGCGGGTGTTCCTACATAAAACTCCCTGGTTTCATCGAGAGCAAGAAGGCGGTAGTGAATGTACGCAATCAGGATGAATGCTGCTTTGCTTGGGCTGTCACGTCTGCACTGTACGCAACAAACACCAAACCTTGTGAGATGTCTTCGTACCCGCATTTCTCTACGGTTTCCGAAATTCGAGATTCTGAACGATTGTTCCATCAACGTTGATGGTTTAGAGAGTATATTTGAGAATCAAAGGGTGAAATATCAGGTGGTTGGCCCACTCCATTACGCTAAGAAAAGGTTCAGTAAGCATGTTAATCTATTACTTGTCTCAGACGATTCTTGAAATAGCCATTATTGTTGGATAAAGAATCTATCTAGATTAGGTTAGGTTAGGTTAGGTTCCATGTGAGTGGGGCGAACACCTCCCCTCCACTGCGACCCCAGATGGGTCTATTGTGGCTCACCCCTAGAGGTTACAGTTCACCGTACAATCCACATCTTTTTACGAAGTTCATGGTTGAATTGGGTGATATTTGTCTGAAATCGATAGGTTCTAGGTTGGTAAAGCCAAATGTATCGAACCTTAGTCTTTCTAAGCTAGAGCATGAGCATAATATGTGTTCAGCCGTTTCGTCTTCCACACAACAGAACCGACAGTCCGTTTGTTGGTTCAGACCCATCCTTCCCAGGTGGTATCTTAGACGACAGTGTCCCGTAAGCAGTCCAGTCAGAATTCGCAGGTTACCCCTGCTCCATTCTAGGATCTGCCTATCTATCTATCTATCTAGATTAGTGTCTAGTCAAATGGGCTCCACTGAACATAAAAAATATTTGTGTGATGGGTGTTTGGTGAATTCTTCAAATGAAACTAAGCTGTTACGCCATCGATTGAGCGACTGTAATCTCACATTGACCACGACGCCCACAACTGAATTGAAAGTTGATAAATTTGGTAATGAGATACCCGAGAATATTCTTAAATTTGAAAATTTCGAGAAACAGATGAAGGTGCCTTTTGTAATATACGCCGATTTTGAATCAGTCTTGAAGCCAATACAATCTTGCGAGCCAGATCCGAAAAAATCGTTTACTAATAGAACATTCATACATGAGCCATACTCTTTCGCATATATCATTAAATGCTCATACGATGATTCTTCAACAAAATTTGTTTCATTTCGTGGAAAGGATGCAGCAAAGAAATTTGTATCTAGCGTAGTTCGCGACTCGAAAAATATTTACAACTCATACCTGAAACATATAGTTCCAATGAAGAAATTGACGTCAGCTGAAGAGGCAGATTTTGCTAATGCCACCGCATGTAATATTTGCGATAAAACTTTCGAATACGGCGATATAAAAGTAAGAGATCACTGCCATTTGACCGGAAAAAAAAGGTTTGGAGCTGCACATTCTGCATGTAATCTGAATTACAAGGTTCCAATTTCATTCCGATATTTTTCCACAACATGAGTGGCTACGATAGCCACCTCTTCATCAAGGAACTTTTCGATCGCGAAGAAAAAGTGGATTGTGTAGCTCAAACCAAGGAGAAGTATATCTCATTCACTAAACATATTTTAGTGGGTGAATATTCGGGCAAAGATGGTCAGACTCATAATATTTTTCTGAAACTGCGATTCTTAGATAGTTACAAATTTCTTTCGCAACCCCTTCAAACACTGGCACAAAACTTAAATACAGAACAGCTCGTAGAAACTGCACGAAATTTTCAAGATTCTAGACAATTCGATGTCATGACACAGAAAGGCGTTTTCTTATATAGTTTCATTACTTCGATGGCTAAATTGAATTATAATGAATTGCCAACCAAAGATGATTTCTACGACAATCGTTCGAATCAACATATATCTGATGAGGATTATCGAAGAGCTGAGACAGTATGGGCTTTATTCAAATGTAAATCGCTTGGGGAATACTCAGACGTCTACTTGAAATCGGATGTTCTATTACTATGCGATGTTTTCGAGAATTTCCGGAAGGTTTGCTTACAAACATATAAACTCGACCCATGCCAGTATTATACAGCACCCGGTTTATCGTGGGATGCTATGTTAAGGTATACGAAAATCGAATTGGAGTTGTTGACCGACATAGACATGATACATTTTTTCAAAAAAGGTATCAGAGGGGGAATAAGCCAATGCAGCTTAAGATCTCATGTGGCAAACAATAAATTCACACCAAATTTCGATCTTAATGAGCCCACATCATACATTATGTATTTAGACGCAACCAATTTATATGGCCATAGCATGTCTCAACCGCTACCAGCCTCTGATTTTAAGTGACTGTCTACTCAGGAAATTGCAGATTTAGATCTCATGAATATCGCAGATGATAATTCATGCGGGTATGTCCTTGAAGTCGACGTATACTACCCCGAAGAATTACATGACGCTCACTCAGATTTGCCATTTCTTGTGGAATCAATGATACCTCCTAATTCATCATCCAAATTACCAAAACTAATTCCAAATTTATTTCATAAAACAAAATATATTGTTCACTATAGAAACCGAAACAAGCAATGGATAATGGTTTGGTGTTGGTTAAAATACATAGAGTATTAAAATTCAATCAATCGCCGTGGCTGAGAAGTTATGTAGACCTCAATACAGAGATGCGCAATAAGAGTCGAAATGCGGCTGATAAGAATTTATATGAGAATATGGTCAACTCAGTATACGGCAAAACAATGGAAAATGTTGATAAGAGAAATGACATCAAACTCATCACACACTGGTATAATATCAAAAAGAAGTTGGGTGCGAATGCTCTGATTGCTCTCCCCAATTATAAGACATGTAAGATTTTCTACGAAAATTTCGTAGCAATCCATATGGGGAGAGTCAAAGTGCATTATGACAAACCATTATATCTAGGTTTCACTATATTAGACGTGTCGAAAGTTGTCATATACAACTTTTTATATGAGTGCATTAAGAAACATTTCGTCGGTAAATCATGGCTTCTATACAGTGACACAGACTCCTTATCTTGAAGATTGAAACAGAAAATTTTACAACTTCATGCGAGAAAATATACGATATTTCGACACGTCCAATTACCCTGCAGATAATAAAATGGGTATTCCAATAACAGAATCGGTTGTTGGAAATATGAAGGATGAATTCCCGGACGATCCTATTATTAGCTTTTACGGCACTGGAGCCAAGGCATATTATGTTCAATCCTTGAGTAGCGAATTGAAGAAAGCAAAGGGTGTTTCAAGGTCGGTCGTCAGAAGTCAACTTTCGATGGATGATTATGAAAGTATCGTCGAAAAAGGGGGTTTGATTTTAAGGAAAATGAATTGTTTTCGCACTGACCACCATGACATATACACAGAAATGAAAAACAAAGTTGCTTTATCATACCATGATGATGAACGATACATCATACCAAACACCACGAAAACCTTACCGTGGGGCCATAGCGATATCGAATTCTACAAATCAAGTCCTGAACATAATTTGCTTTGGTTACAGCAAGCTATTACTGAAGTAGAAACGAACGACTTCATAAATTTGTTAGAGATGGAACAATCGAAACTTTAACAGCGGACTCTATACCTGAAAATATTAGTCAGTAGTCAGTGGATATCATATTTTGCTGGATAATCTCTATATTCGCATTAGTTTTGAATGTTCAGAGGATGCCTATATTAAATTATTCACATATTTGTATATATACCCTTATTAATTTATTCACATTTTTTGTATATATATATATATATATATTCTTGTTATGAAATCATCATCCAAGTAATTTTACGCTGATATTTACCGAATTAAATATATATTTATATGGTAATACTTGCTACTTTTTTTTTACCCTCCATGGAATACCTCGAATTAGCGCTATTCAAATACTCGATGGATAGGGGGGGGGGGGGTTGTCAACTATCAAATAATCAATTCTAATTAAGTTAGTGCACGTTGAACTGCTGTAGGTGGAAGATGTATAACGCTATTGATAAATTTGGTCGCAAGAAGAGCAAATCAATGTGTTCGCTGCCCGGGCGACCTGGAATCGGGTTCAAACTCGACGAAAGTGGAAATTATGACATATTGGGTAAGCGACTAACGAATGTTGGTAATCCATTGAGTGGTGAAGATTGCGTCCCATTGGAGTTTCTCAATCAGCAAATGTTTGAGATGATGACAGCTCTCGAAAAATTGAAAATAGTTACCAGAGATTACAGACAGTTTTCTGAAAAGGTGCTTATGATGTCACCAAAAGTGAATTAGTCAGTAGATGATATAAGTTCCATGTCGAAACAGATGGAGGAATTGAGTTTGAAGTTTGAGAAGAAACCCACTGAATTCAGCGAACGATTGCTCAAATTAGAAGTCGAATTGGCGTTGAAGAATGGGAAAGTCTTCACCAACTGAATGAGGCGACCTGGGATGGAGGAAAAACCCCGAAATGGGCTTGGGGGAGGAATAAAATATATATTCCCATACTCTGTAAATGATTTAATGATATCAAATTGTAATAAAAAATATTAAATTCATATATTATTTGTTTTCTCTTCCTTTGTTGCCTTTCTCTACATCAGCTCATGTTGGTAGTGAGCGGGATTGGGTGAGACTTGTTCGTAGTGAAATCCTTGAGAGGATAGAATATGAGTGGGGTCAAGGTTGAGACTTGACAGTGGAGATAAGTGGGGTTGACGGCGGGATTTGGAAGTGGTGTTGAGTGGGCGGAGCCTGCGAAGGGATGTGAAATGAGTGGGGTTGGGGGCGATGGTTTGATAGTGGTGGAACCGCTAGGTGGGTGGAGCCTGTGAGTTAGTGGGGAGGGAGTGGGGTGGAAAGTGGGTAGGGTGTGAGTGTTTAAAACAAGAGGTGCACACACTGACTCCTGTTCGCAGACTTTGTCTTCTACCAGAACACCTTCAGACACCATTCGTCAGTTTTAATTCCACTACAGCGCCTTCGAACATCAGTTGAGTAAGTAATATACTATGATCGAATGTTAGCTATTTTATTCCACATGTTATGTGAATCTACAGTTTATATAAAAATGTTATTGTTTCAGATATGTCCAACGTTGAAACCGATCTGAACACCGCGTTCGTTGGAGAGGCCGCGACGGTTGATGAAGGCTCCACGCCACCACTTTCTCTCTTAGGTCAGTATATTTTTCCAATCATCGCAATGAAACAAAGTATTTCACCCCAATTGTCTTGCTTTTTCCAGACCTCGATGATGACGACATCATTGCCATCGACACCCCCGTCGATGTCGGAGAAAGGGGTATCAATGATATCCCCTTCGACCCGGAGTTGCAGACGCCAAGTCAGAGGAAGTGGCTCAGTCAGGCAGTTAGAGATCGCCTGGAGGAAGCAGGAACCTGGGAGAACCATGAGCCTTCAGGTGTTGATGGTGGGATGGTGCCGGCTCAGGACTCATCATCCGGTGTTGAGGGTCTTGGTAGCGACAGTGGATTCGTGAGACCTGCGGCTAGGTATTCTTAAGGCTCCAAGAAAACTCTTAAGCAACCGAAGCCGTCAACACCGGAGAGAGTTTCCATCAGGAAGAGGGGTCGGGATGACGATAGCGACGATAGCGGTGATGATTTCCAAACCCAGCAACTCGGTAAGAGGGAACCAACAGCACCACCATCGACGCAGTCGTCATCGAGTACCTCCTCCTCCTCTTCGACATTGTCACCTCAGATTCTCAAGGGGAAGAAGATGAAGAAGAAGGTGGAAGTTGGACCGTCAACAACCATCCTTGGAAAGTTGCTAGGTAGCCGCAGTAAACCGAACCCATACCGAGGTGGCAAGGTTTCGCCGTGGTACACGGCTCACAAGAAAGCCGTTTCCTCAACAAGCGGGACGCAGCAGCAGCAACAGCGACGTCCAACCATCAATCTGATTAGTGTGGAGGTGGTGCGTCCAGCCGATCTACCCGAGAGTGTGGATGAACCACTTCCTTCACAGGAATCAGATGTCGTGGGAGACAACATTGTTGCTGCCGCTGCAGATGTGGCCGATCAAGATGTTGATATCCACATACGCATTCCATCGCCGCCAAAAGAGCTCATCGACCACGTCAGGAAATATGATGCCGATTTGAAGCGATGGAATGCGAATGTAGATAGTCGGATTGCTGTGAGTAAGAGTAGGTTGCGATCTTTCTCACAGCAAAGAGAAGCTCTACTTTCGCGGCTTGCTGAAATAGATCGACAGATAAAGTCTGAAGAAAAGTTTCAGCAGGATTGTGAAAGGGGTAGAACTCGTTTCGAGCATTTAGATCGGCTCAATACGGGGTATTTGGCAGATACATAAGTCAATTGTGTGTGTGTGTGTGTGTGTGTATATATGTTTTATATTATGTTTTATATTATATTATTTTTTTGTACCTGAATGAATGTGTTCTGTATCATATTATCCATGTAAATATATTTTTTTATAGAATGTTAACTGTTATTATTGTAAATATAAGAGATTACCCTGAATATATTCACTATTCTGGACTATGGTTTTTTCAATATTTTTACCCCCACCACTTTTTCCACCACCATTTCACCCTACTACTCATTTCAACACCACGCCCACAACTCTCCTCCTCCTTCTGCCACAGATAAATTCAACCGCTTCTCTGGAATCATTCAGTTGAAGTTCAGTATCAAAAAATGAATACTACAACCATCTGTGCAGCAGACTCCACCACTACCAGCCAGGGCAATGCCTTGTCATTTAGCCACCGATTGGAGCCAGCATCGGAGGGACCTTGCGACTCTTCCTCGGATGTTGTTGAAGTGGAGGATGTCTCCTTTGAGTTCGATTGGGAGGATGATGTCATCGTAGTCGAAGACAGCGATGAGGCCTCCGACTTCGATGACGATGACCGAGGAGACGACTCCGATTCCGATGCCACACTCATCCTAGGTGGCATTGGAAGAGAAGAAGAGAGCGACACCGAGGAGGAGGAGGACCGTCCATTGGCGAGGGGCGCTTACCTGGACCCCATTATGATGGAGGCGATGGAAATGGACGCGCTGGACGAGCGCGATTTGTTTGACTTGGTGGAGGATTATCTCAGATAATCTTTTTGTATATAGTATTTTTTTGTATATAGTCATGTAGTTTTTTGTATATAGTTATGTAGTATTTCTGTATATATATATATATAGTTTCAATAAATGTATTGAAAGATATCAGGTATTTAATTTCTTAAAACATTCCTTCAGCCGAAAAACTTGGCATACGTCGCAAAAAAATTCTAAAAAATAGTTAAAAAAAATCGGAAAAATTCCACCCGATTTTTTTCTTAATGGCAATCATTTTTCTTCATATAAGAATTTTTGTCACTCCTTTCAATATGGTAGTTTACTACGAATCATTTTTAACGGGAGGGAGGGTGTAAAAATTTCTCACAAAAATTCAACTAATACATTGTCACCATAAAAATCCCGGATTTTTACGTTTTTCTTTTTTTTTTAAGGGTGAAAAACATGATAAATCTTCGCCTCGTTAAAAATTTAAAATGGTTAAGAAAAATCGGAAAAATTCCACCCGATTTCTCTCTTCATGACAATCATTTTTCTTCATGTAAAATTTTTTCTCTTTCTTTTCAATATGGTAGTTTACTACGAAACATTTTTAGCGGAAGGGAGGGGGTAAAAATTTCATGATAAAAAATTTCTCGCAAAAATTCAACTAATACTGCCACCATAAAAATCCCGGATTCTTACGTTTTTTTTTTTTTTTTTTTTTTTCGTCAAAATTTTAAAATTCAAGATGGGTGATCCAATATGGCTGACGATAATGAATAAAATCGATGAAATTCTCCTTATTTTTATTATTTTATTTCGAAAAACTTATAATTATAAACACAATAATATATAAATCACATGGAATATGGAGAAAATATCCATAATCAACAATATATATATATACATATATTAAGATTCATTCCGCATTCTCATCGCTGCTGCTGCTATTTTGCCAAATGATGTGATCCAATGCAGCAGGCGGAGCTTCAACATTCCCCAGTGCCCGCCTCTCATGACGCACGCACCAACATGTGGAGAAATGGTGGTCCATGCTACTATAGAAGTAGCCGACATTCTCACAGAAGTACGACCCCATATTGCATCCGACGCATACCCCTTTCCAACAATCATTCCTATATGCGTCGCATCTGATACAGCGTTGAAATCGCAGGCGTACCTCCACGCTGCATGCTCTACACACATCCCTGCAGATGCCCATGTTGT